GAAGTAGGTCGGTGAGTGAACTAACGATCGATGCGTAACTCTGAACGAAACGACGATAGTAATTGGCGAATCCGAGAAAGCTTTGCAACTCCTTGACTGAGGTCGGTGCTACCCAATCCTGTACTGGTGCGATCTTCTTCGGGTCGGTCCTAATGCCACTAGCGGATACGACATGGCCTAGAAACTCGACCTCTGGAAGGAAGAACTCGCATTTCGACTGCTTCGCGTACAACTGCTCCTTCCGCAAGACCTCGAAAACCTTGTGTCAGAATATATCTGTAACTGCCTGTAGCTGTAGTTAGTGTAGTTATTATAAACTTTGTTTGGTGGTGCACCTTCTTTGTTCCTTTGCTATATGTTCTTGCAAACCTATAGTGAAGCCCCATTTCTCTCCTTTCAACTTTCTCGACATTCATCTTCAACCCTAAACCTAAGCTACTAAGACACTCACTAGCAATGGCTCCTAAGCGTAAGTCACGCTAGTATCTCAACATGGTATTCAGAGCAAGTACCTTCCTGCTGCCTTCCTGCTTCCGCTGCCTATCGTCCTGCCGCGCGCCTCGGGCGCGCGGCGTAGGCGCACGGCGATTTTGTGCCCGCCGTGTGCTCGGGGCGCACGGCGTCTTCCTGCCCCGCGCGTGGCCTGCCCTCACGCCGCCTGCGCGCCTGCCTCACGTCCACGCGCGGGCCTGTTTTGCCTGCCCGTACCCTCCACTTCGCGGCGCCCTGCGAAGCGCCGTCCCTGCTCGTCGCAACGCACCTGCGGGACCCGGGCGTCGCCGCTCCTGCTCGTCGCGACGCCCCTGCAGGACCCGCACGGCGTCGCCTTGCTCGTCGCGACGCCCCTGCGGGACCCGCGGGGCGACGCCACTCCTCGTCGTGGCGCCCCCTGGACGCCGCCCCTGCTCGTTGCGGCGCCCCTGGGGCGTCGCCCCTGCTCGTAGCGGCACCCCTTGGGCGCCGTCCCTGCTCGTCGCGGCGCCCTCCCCCCTGGCCACCGCCTCTGCCTCACCTGCGCCCGCGCAAGCGTTGCAGCTGCGCGCGGGCCTACCTTGCACCAGCGCCGCCCCTGGAGCAGCCGCCCCTGGAGCAGCCGCCCCTGGAGCAGCCGCCCCTGGCCACTGGAGCAGCCGCCCCTGGTGCAGCCGCCCCTGGACCTCAGCAGCCGCCCCTGGACCCCGCAAGCCGCCTCAGCAGCAGCCCACGGCGCCGACCTTACAGCTGTATGCGCCTCCGCTCCTGGACTCGGTACGGCTGCCTGCCTGTGCTGCCCGTTGCTACCTGTTGCTGCACGTGCCTGTGCTGCCCGTTGCTGCCTGTTGCTGCCTGTGCCTGTGCTTCCCGTTGCCGCCCGTTGCTGCCCGTGCTTGTGCTGCCCGTTGCCGCCCGTTGCTGCCCGTGCCTGTGCTGCCCGTTGCCGCCCGTTGCTGCCCGTGCCTGTGCTGCCTGTTGCCGCCCGTTGCTGCTCGTGCCTGTGCTGCCTGTTGCTGCCCGTGCCTGTGCTGCCTGTTGCCGCCCGTTGCTGCCTGTGCCTGTGCTGCCCGTTGCTGCCTGTTGCTGCCCGTGCCTGTGCTGCCCATTGCTGCCTGTTGCTACCTGTGCTTGTGCTGCCCGTTGCTGCCCGTTGCTGCCCGTGCCTGTGCTGCCCGTTGCCGCCTGTTGCTGCCCGAGCCTGTGCTGCCCGTTGCCGCCCGTTGCTGCCCGTGCCTGTGCTGCCTGTTGCTGCCCGTGCCTATGCTGCCTGTTGCCGCCCGTTGCTGCCTGTGCCTGTGCTGCCCGTTGCTGCCTGTTGCTGCCCGTGCCTGTGCTGCCCGTTGCTGCCTGTTGCTGCCTGTGCCTGTGCTGCCCGTGCGTGTGCTGCCCGTGCGTATGCTGCCCCTGCTCTTCCCCCTCCCCCTTCTTCGTCTCCCTGCTGCGCGTGCAGCCGTGGAACAGAGGCTATGGGGGTGGCGGGTATGGGGGTGATGGGTGTGTGTGATCCCCTAAGCTACTAAGACACTCACTAGCAATGGCTCCTAAGCCTAAGTCACGCTAGTATCTCAACACCTTGTGCAAGTGCTGCACGTGCTCCTCTTTCGTCTTGGAGAAGACTAAGATGTCATCTAGGTAAACTACAACGAACTACCCTAGAAACTCGGAGAGGATTGTATTCATGAGCGTCTGAAACGTCGCTGGGGCGTTGGTCAAACCGAAGGGTAGAACCCTAAACCAACCCCTGCTTCGTACGAAACGCCGTCTTGTGCTGGTCCTCTGGAACTACTCGAATCTGAAGATACCCTAAGCGAAGATCGATCTTGGAGAAGATTCTAGCGCCCTGCACTGCATCGAGAAGATCTTCTACTCTCGGCACTGGGAACCTATTCTTGACGGTGGCGGCGTTCAGTGCGCGGTAATCTATGCACATCCGTAACCCTCCGTCTTTCTTGGGTGCAAAAAGGATCGGTGCTGCCCAAGGCGATATAGATGGTTGTACGAACCCCTGCGTGAGAAAGTGCCTAACCTGCTGCGTCATCTCCTCTGTCTCCGCTGGACTCAACCTCCACTGCGGCTTTGTTACTGGCCTGCTCCCCGGCTCCAACTCTATTTGATGGTCTACTGCTCGGCTGGGAGGTAACCCTGGGGGCAACTCGTCGGGGAAGACGTCTGCGAACTCTGCTAACAGTGCACTCACCTCAGCAGGAAGAGTCGCCTTCTCACCAGCTGCTGCACTCCCTCCTTTCCCCTCCTCAGCTTCCACCTCCTCAAGGAAAACCGCAAAGATCCGTGCCGCTCACTTCACTAGCTGCCGCACACGAACAGCATTGATGATGGCTGTGGATGATGTGGCCCCATCGCTCCACTGTGGCAACTCCCAGAACTCGCCATCTACCTTGACGCTGCAGCTTCCCTGAGCCCAATCGAACTGAGTACTAACCGTCCGTAACCAATCTCTACTGAAGATGAAGTCGTAACCGTCCAGCGTCGCAGAGTCGAAGTCGCGTCTAACCGTGATTGCTCCTAGCACCACGCGCAACTTGCGAATTACTGGTCCTATGTGAAGTGGAGTCCCATCTACCATGCGAGCGTCCTTGAAGTTGACTGCCAAATCTGCTTCGAGATGGAGACGACTAACTAACGAAGATGAAACAAACGAGTGGCTAGCTCCGCTATCGATGAGAATCTTGACTGGAACTCCACGAAGCTTCCCTAGAAGCACGACTGGAGCATCAACATTGTCTACCTAGTTCGGCGTAGGTGACTACTCTAAGGTCGTCTCCTCTACGTTGGTAGACGTGGCGGGTTCGGAAGCGTCCACACCAGCTAGCGACCCGCTATCTACTGGCGGTTTTTGTTTCCGTGCTGCCGCTCCTTAAGTTGTGGGCAGTCCCGCTTCACGTGTCCCGGCTTTTTGCAGTTTTGACAGTTCCCCCTAAATCCCGTTTTCTGTGAGCCGTCACTGTTAACTGCACCAATCTCCATGGGCGATGGTCCGTCCCTCGATCGAGCGTCATTGATCGGTCTGTTGTATCCCGTATCGCGTTCGTCACGACCCCGTCGGCTTCGTACTGCGTCGACGTGTTCTGCTGCTGCGACTATCGACTCCAAGGTGGACAACCCGTGAATCGCTATGATCTCCGCCATGTCCGGGTTCAACCCTTCGAGGTAGCGATCGCGCATCTCTGCTTCCGTGATATCGTCTATCTCGTTGTAGATGCTCAAGAACCACCGTGTCTACTCCTAGACGTTTCCTATCTGTCGGAAATGACGCAGACGCTTTCTAGCAGCTTCCGAGGCGTTCACCAAGTCGAACCTACTTTTCAGCGCCGCTTCAAATCCTTCCCATGTGGTTGGAACCGTGGTAACACCCAAAGCTAAAGTCCCTAAGCTCGAAGTTGCAGCTGCATGCCCCACGCCCTGTTGATGCCCGTCTGTCTGAGCCCTTCTTACAGCAATTTGCGTGAGTTGGCACCACCACTCCAAGGCCGGGCCCCTAAGCAGCATAACGGAGTACTCGATCCGCTGCTGCGCGTCCGCCTCTTGCACCCCGCTCGCGGCGAAGTAGTTGTTCAGCATGAAGAGCCACGTCCGCACGTTCATGTCTCGTTGACTTGGGTCGAACGACCCGGGTTTCTGCGGCTTGAGCGTGCTTCGACGTTCCGGCAGCGCTTCCGCGCTAGTCGACGTGTTGGGTGCAGGAGACGGTGCGGCATGACCATGAGAAATTGACGCGAATTCACGAAGCTGTTGCATTTCAGCTCGTACCCGACGATTTTCCAGCGTCAATGCTTCAAGTTGGCGCATGAGTTGAGCAAGCGCATTGCCCATGTCGTTGGGGAGAGCATTCATGGTCTCGTCCATGTTGGCTCGACGACTCCAAGTCTGCAAGTTGGCACCGCGGGACGATAATGTCATAGTCTCGTCGTTGACGGTCGCTCGTTGGAAGTCGCTCCCCACGAAGGCTCTTGATTCCAAGTGTTTGGCCCGCTGGCCAAAATCCGCTAAAGATTAGCGGGGTCGACTAAGTCGAGGATAAACGCGGCGAAAGACTTTGGCGAAAGAGAGAGGGCAAAAGGGAAAGTCGTTGTCGTCATTAAGGATTGGGCTAGATAGCTAAAAAGGGAGGGGGAGAGGGAAGAGAGGGAGAAAGGTAAGAGAGCGAGATAGGGAAGAGGTGGAGAGGGAGAGAGGGACAGAGGAATAAAGGTAGATAGCAAGGTAGGGAGGGATGGAGGGAGATAGGAAGAGAGGGGAGAGGGAGGGATGGAGGGAGGAAGAGAGGAAGTGGAAACAAATGGACGAGAGATCGGAAGACAAGGTGGAAAGGTGGGAAGGCAGGAAAGGAAGACAAGGCAAGTGAGGCTTGCAGGGGGGAAGACCAGGAAAGGAACGGACGAAGGGGAACAGAGGGGAACGACATGAAATGGAGGGGAATGGAGTGGGCACTCACCTCGTGATGGGAGTCTAGGTTTAGTTCTGGAGAAGGCAAACGGAAAAGGGCAAGAAGCTTACCCTCTTCCCCTCTATCCCTCCCCATCTCTCCCTCCCCTCCTGACCATCTCCCTTTGTGCATCCCCCTCTGTTCCTCCCCTCTGCCCCCCCCCCTCTGTCCCTCCGCTTCTGTCCCTTCCCCCCTCTGTCCCTCCCCCCGTCTGTCCCTCCACCCATGTCTCTAGCCCTCTGTATCCACCTTCCACGCCACAGAGTGCTGTGCGGCGCCTTTTGAGACGTCTCAACCAGCAGAACCTACCCATCCGTACCCATTGTGGTGAGAAGCAGGCAGTATCCTGGTTGGCATCGTCAGCATCACCAGATGCTAAAAGCAACTGCTGAGTTGGCCCCTTGTTTCGCGTCCGTCCCTCCTCTTAGTTGCAAATGTACATGGGGAGGGAGAGGAGAGGTACATGGGGAGGGAGAGGAAAGATGGTGAGATCGAGATAGAGGGGTGGCATATGGGGAAAGCAAAGGCTCACTTGGTGCGTGATGCGTGTTGAGATACGAACGTAGTTAGATACTAGGTTTAGCTAGGGCCTAGGCTTAGGAGCCTAGGCCCAAGGAGGATCGAGGAAGTTTGTCCAAGGTGAGAGAGTCGAGAGAATTGGAAAAGGTGATTGTTCACTATAGCACTAGGGTACATATAGTAAACAGAGCATGCAAAGAAGGTGCACCACCAACAGTTTATAATAACTACCCTAAACTACAGCTACAGGCAGTTACATATAAATTCTGACACTCCCCCATAACTGCCTGGAGCAGGAGTTTATGCAGAACACAACCTGCAGGGGTACACAAGCAACAGCAACAGCAGGTACAGTAACAGAGCAGGTACAGCAGCAAAGGGACAGGCGACAGCAAGAAATTCCTGCCACCCCCTTACTCTCTTCCCCCCAACCACAGGAGGGGCAGCAGGGAGAGTGAGGAGGCGGGCTGGCTCTGGCTGGTCACCCCCTCCATCTCCTCACCCTCCCCCTCCCCCTCCCCCCCCACACTGCTGCAGGAGCAGCAGAGGGGGGAAGAGAGGAGAGGTGGAGGGACGGCTGCTGGTTGGTCTCACACCCGCCACCCCAGTGCCACTCCCCCAGCTCCCCCACACCCTCACACCCTCCCCCCCCAGCGGCAGCTGCAGCAGTGGGAACGAAAGGAGGAGGAGGGGAAGGGAAGGACACCACTCATCACTCCAACACCCGCCACCCCCATACCCTCCCCCCCACGGCTGCAGGGAGACGAAGGAGGAGGGGGTGGGCGGGGAGAAAGCCGCAGAGCGGCTACAGAGGGTTGGCGCAGGTAGGTCAGGGGCGGCTGCAGGGAGTGCAGGCGCGGGGTGAGGCAGAGGCACCGCCGAGTGCGCCAGGGGCGGGTACTTGGCGGTTCAGGACACCGTCGCAGGCGCCAGGGGCGGTTCCGCGGCGGCTCAAGGGCACCGTCGCGCACCACGGGGCACTTGACGGGCAGTTTAGGGCACCGTCGCATGCCACGGGGCGCACGACGAGCAGGGCACCGTTGCGTGCCACGAGGCGCACGACGGGCAGGTTTGGGGCACCGTCGTGGGCCACGGGGCGCACGACGGGCAGGGCACCGTCGCGTGCCACGGGGCGCACGACGCGCAGAGAAGATGTCACTCGCCACCCGGGGGCGGGACAGGACGAAAATCGCCACGCGCCCGAGGCGCACGACCGGAAAAACAGCAGCGGAAGCATAAGGCGGGCCCACAGGCCAGGACGTAACCCGCTCTGATACCATGTTGAGATAGGAACGTAGTTAGATACTAGGTTTAGCTAGGGCCTAGGCTCAGCCTAGGCCCAAGGAGGATCGAGGAAGTTTGTCCAAGGTGAGAGAGTCGAGAGAATTGGAAAAGGTGATTGTTCACTATAGCACTAGGGTACATATAGTAAACAGAGCATGCAAAGAAGGTGCACCACCAACAGTTTATAATAACTACACTAAACTACAGCTACAGGCAGTTACATATAAATTCTGACAACGCGCACCTCTATGAGGCTGGGGGTATGCAGGGCGGAGGTGGGGGGAAGCAGGGCAGAGGGAGGGGGAAGCAGGGCGAATGGAGGGGGGGAGCAGGGCGGAGGGAGGGGGGAAACAGGGCGGAGGGAGGGGGGAAACAGGGCGAAGGGAGGGGGGGAGCAGGGCGGAGGGAGGGGGGAAACAGGGCGAAGGGAGGGGGAAGCAGGGCATAGGGAGGGGGGAAACAGGGCGAAGGGAGGGGGGGAGCAGGGCGGAGGGAGGGGTGAAACAGGGAATAGGGAGGGGGAAGCAGGGCATAGGGAGGGGGGAAGCAGGGCGGTGGGAGGGAGGAGGCAGGGAGGAGGGATGGGGGAAGCAGGGAGGAAGGAGGGGGGAAGCAGGGAGGAGGGAGGGGGGAAGCAAGGAGAAGGGAGGGGGGAAGCAGGGCGGAGGGAGGGGGGAAGCAGGGAGGAGGGAGGGGGGAAGCAGGGAGGAGTGAGGGGGGAAGCAGGGAGGAGGGAGGGGGGAAGCAGGTGAGGCAAAGGATAATAGATTGCGGGGTGCACAGAGCTGGTGGGAGAAAGGGAGGTCGGTCACATAAAGAGGGGTGTAGGCACTTCAAGGAAATTGAGGTCCATGGGGAGAGGGAGTGAGGGAAGAACCCGCTGCCACCCAGGTCTCCCACTCTCTGCCCCCCCCCCCCCCCCCTCTGTTCCTAAACCCCCTCCATCGTTCCCCTTCTGTCTCTCCCCCTCAGCCCTTCACAAAGTGAAGCGCGCGTGACCAGGGAGGATAGCGCGTAACGAGGGGAAACGCGCGTGACGAGGGGAGGAGAGCGCGCAACGCGGGGAAGCGCGCGAAGGCGCGTGCGCGAGAAGCGGAAATGCGCGCCACGAAGCGATACGCGCGAGACGAGGGGAAACGCGCGTAACAAGGGGCAACGCGCGTGACGAAGGCAAACGCGCGTGACGAAGGGAAACGCGCGTGACGAAGGGAAACGCGAGTGACGAAGGGAAACGCGCGTGACGAAGGGAAACACGAGTGACGAAGGGAAACGCGCGTGACGAAGGGAAACGCACGTGACGAAGGGAAACGCGCGCCACGGAGGGAAACGCGCGTGACGTAGGGAAACGCGCGTGACGAATGGCAACGCATGACGAGGGCCGGCATTCTATTCCAAGCAGGCGCGAGTGACGAGGGCGGGCGCGAGTGACGAGGGGGAGCGCGAGTGGCGAGGGGGAGCGCGGGTGACGACTCGCGCTGCACGTGCGGTAGAATGGTGTCGCACTCGTTTGGCTCAGACGTTCCGGGTGAGTGTGGCGACTACGCCTGTAAATATGTACAGCGACACTAGGCTTGTTCTGCCCAGCTATTGACGAGACAGCATGAGTGACGTGAGTTGCCGTAAAAATCGCGGTCACGTGGTACTAGCTGATGAAGCACTGGCTTTCTACTTACGTGAGAGCCTAGGCCAGTCATGAGTACTACTAGGCGATCAAGATATGTGTGATGCAACCAGCGGGCCAACCTGAGCGACGCTCGGTTATGTTTTGAGATTGTGCACATCAGCCAATGAGGAGAGAGTGTCGCTAGGCGTTGCCCAGAGTCGCGAGAGTTCCGCAAAAAAAAGACGGGTAACCCTGTTTTTGTGTGATGCTGACCTGTGTGCCTCAGTGTAAGGATTTACAAAATCCTTACTGAGGCACTCGTTAGCGAGGCCATCCCGAGGGTCACGCGACGAACCTGTCCTTCCTATTTCGTCGCACCGAACCACTCCCGAGTCGCCTCCGCTCCAATCGCAACCATCACCGAGCCATCCTCGCCCAACCTCTCCGCCTAGCTAGGACTTCCCCTATTTAGTCGTGGCTTTCTCATTGTATTGTCATTCAGTAATTCAGTACTCAGTCATTCTCATTATTCGATATTCTGCACACTCTGCAAGTTCATTCATAACACTCAGCTGCTTTGTGACAACTGAGGGATGCGTTCCCAAGCAAAATACGGTAGTATTGCATTGCCAGTGGAGGCACAGCTGCCTCAATGTGCCTCCTAGTTACACCAAAGAATCTGAATCAAAGGATGATGAACGAAGAGGTTCACTCATCTCAAGCCTGACCCAATGAATCGCAACCTATTTACCTTACAAACGGTATGAACAATAGAAAGCTTCGTTCGTGGGTTGAATAACCTCCCATTGAAACAGTCCCAAAATTTGCTTCTGTTGGATCGGTCAAGCGCTTCAAGCAATCTGCAGGCGGTCGACCCCATGAGCAACGAAACTTCCTCTGTGCAAATTCTTGTCGAGAATTCTCGACCACTGTTTTTTGTTCTTTCCCTTGAGCGCGAGCGCCACGCTAGTGCCTTGATTCATTCCCCAACCAGGACTCACTGTGTGCCGAAACAACTTTCCATTGTTCAGCAGAAGCGCAACCGACTTCCCTTCAGGTAAAGCCTTCAGCTTGGCGAACCGCTTCTTGCCCTTGATGATGTTGAAGGAGAGGCTCTTAAAGAGATTGAGCGAGGCTCCCGGGTTTTTAAGATTCGGGAGGAGGCCACTCGACAGAAGCGCGGCGTCGGTGGGTATTAAGATGGTGGTGTGAATGAAAAGGGTCAAGTCCATGGCGGTGGGGAGGGCTTCTGCGAGGGACGAGTGGAGGGGATGGGAAGGAGGTGAGGGATGACGGAATGAGCGAATAACGTCAGTGAATGAAGTCTAAGGCGCCTCAAAAGATGGTGATGTGAAAGAAAGGGATCCGGCCGATGCCGACGGGAATGGTTTCTGCAAGGGGCGACTAGAGCGGATGGGCAAAAAATCGAGGGACGACGAAATGTGCGTTTCTTGCCAACCGATGGTTGCGAGAAAGGTGTAAAACGGTGTAAACGGGGGCATGACACGAGTCTGGGCGGGAAAAGAGAGTAAGTTGCTGGTAGAGTATGAAATGAGAGTAACAGCCCTGTTAATCGAGCGCGAGTCGCGGAAGGGAAAGGGAACAAGGGAGATGCAGACCTGAGTTTCCTCTAAGTCAGCACAGGTAGGCTCTGGAATCACACAGCCGGAAAAAAATATAAATTACGACGATGATTGTAATTGGACTTACTTCCTTGAGTAATCAGCTGAGAAAGAACTTGACTCATGACGAGGTATCTCAAACGGGGATTTAGCATCAATTTCTGCCGCAGCGCCTTCAGCTCCCCTATGATTCCCGCCGTTTTTGCCGCGGCCGCAGCTGTCGCTAACGGGTCCGCAGCTGTCCCCAACGGGTCCGCAGCTGTCGCCAACGGGTCCGCAGGTGTCGCCAACGAGTTCGCAGGTATCGCCAACGGGTCCGCAGGTGTCGCCAACGGGTCCGCAGGTGTCGTCAACGGGTCCGCAGCTGTCGCCAATATCGACAGTGAAAGGAGAGCAGCTAGCATCAGCGTTTGGACTGACATGGCGGCTGACGTGTATACACTCGGCTAAACAGGCTGTCGCGAAATCTGAGAATGTGAATCTGAAACGATCTACAGCGAGTGGCGGATAGATGACAAGGTTGGAGCGCGCAGAGATGTTTTCTTGAAACAAACAGAACGGAATAAATTCACGATCGAGCGAGTCTCTCTAGGTCAAGTGTGGTGGCGACAACGACTTGGTTTGGTTTGGCAGGTGTTTCCTGAGTGTCGAAGCAACAAATGGCGGCTGGGAGCAATAGGGGAAGGAAGAAAAGGAGGGGACGGCGGAAATGGAGAGGAGACGGGGAGGGGGAACGGAGGAATTGTGGGGTACACCCTCTTTTGCGCTACACTGGCAACGGGATTCACTGGCTACAGTGAAACTGTTCCTTGGACATATTCGGAATTGTTACGATAACCGTCTCTAGGGGGTGAGTGATTCGCAATTTCGTTATCCTGGGTACCCTACCGAGCCATATCAAACGTTCAAACGACCGTCTTTGAAAGTAACTAACCGCGTCAAACCGTACTAGTGCAAAAGTCCACTATAACGCGTCCTCTGGCGCATTGAGCCACAGGGCCCATATAGCCAATGACAGTGTAGCGCGAAAGAGGGTGTAGAGAAGGGGAAGGGGGACGGGGCCTTGGTGGGGGGAACACCATCTGCCTTGTGATCAATAAACGAACAAGGCAAGTGGGGGGACATATTTTGGAGAATGTACATTTGCCTACACGGAACCCCCTTGCACGGCGCTCTCGGCTGGATTTGCTGCGATGCTCCTGACGGTTCTCCAAGTTTCAAAGCGGTTTGACGATCTATGAAACCTTTCTTGAACGGTTTGCCATGTTCAAGCGCGACACGTCAGGGTGACAAAGCCGAGTTGCATAGGAATCGCCGGCTGGAGTCGCACGGATGCAGCGGTCGATTGTGTCCCAAAATCTCGGTGGGTTGATTTACAGCATTCAATCTGACTGGTTGTGTACGATACGGGGCCTTTGATGGATGATTTAGAGCGGTGCTAAATCAAATGAAGAATCTGAAATATAGTTTTTCTCGTTTGGGTACAGAAAGATGTGACTATCCTGGCTTTCCATCCAGCTGCAAATGAGAAAATCTGACAACACTTAGGACAACTTGTTCATGTTTTCAGTCATTTGATGCGTCTGGGGAGCCAACCCACCAATCTCATCTCAGTGCACAACTAATGTCAGCCACACATGCTGCACCAGTGGGAGTCCCTATATCGAGTGGCCTTTTACTACTCACCTAGTATTGTTCTCAGACCGTACACCCTTAACGAAACAACATACAGACTGAACCATCTAGTGTTTTCTTGTAATCTAAAGGAGCCCAAGGGAGTGAAGTACACAGCGGAGCGAAACAAAGAATCAGCGCGGGGCAAAGAGCTCCTGGATCTGGTTGAAGATCTCCATCACCTGCCAGCCAGTGTAAGCATGACACGGGTTTGGGTGGGGGAGGGGAGGGGATGATGCAGGTAAGTGGACAATGCCGAATAGGCACAACCAGTGCGGTGGGGCATAGAGCTTCTGGACCTGGTTGAAAATCTCCATGACCTGTTAGACAGTGTTATTACGACCTAGATTGGGCGGGGGAGAGGACAATGCAGAGGACGGGAAAATGGGGAGAAGACACACAACAGAGCATAAGCCTGGTGGGGCAAAGAGCTTCAAAATCTCGATTAGCGATGCTCATTCCCTCTCAGCAGTGGTCGACCAATGCAGCACAAACATACCAGAGCAGAGTAAGTGCGACCGTAAAGGTTAATGAACCGTGCAAGCAGCAATGCAGTAAGCACTCGGCTGGCAGATGCGGGTACCAACCTACAGGGCTGCTGAGTACTGCTACCGTCCAGCCCACACTGATTTTGATTGGTGGGTCTATTAATTGCTCATGTCAGCATCGTGCTTGCTTACCTCGGCATCGTTTTGGTACTTGGTCCAGTTCATGGGATTGGAGGACACCTGTTGGGATGCACGCCATTCCATGCCATGCCATACCATGCCATGCCATGCCATGCCATGCCATCCCATGCCATGTCATCCCATATGGACAAGTTACATGCCATGCCATGGCATCAGGATAAAATGAAAGCAGGTTCATGCAGAAGCACACACTTACCCAGATGCAGACACATGAACAGAGATTAACCATCAGATAAAGCTCCGGATTACCAGATACCACCCACAGTGTGGTGTGGCAGAAGCAGAGAGCATGCAGGCCTATGCACACACATGCACAAACGAGGCTGCTTATATTGAGTGCAAAGAAGAATGCTGATATCAAGCATGAGCTAGGATGCTCATATCGAGTCCAGTAAGGAATGCTTATATCGAACCCACATGCTGATGACTATAGCGAGTACAGAAAAAGGACACACATCGAGGATGGCAGCCTGCAGGCGAGGGTTCTCGAAGGCAGCGGTGAGCTTTGACTTTTGAGGCACCTGAAAGGTCATCCCATGTCTAAAGTGGTGACATTTGAGACGCCTGAAAGGCCATCTCATGTCCAAAGACTAAAGGACTCACATCGAGGATGGCGGCCTGCAGGCGGGGGTTCTGGAAGGCAGCTGCGAGCTTCGGGTTGGACATGATCTTACCCACCACGTCCTCTGGTGACATGCCCAGCTGGGCTGATAAGGGGGGGAAGGAGGGGGAAGAGGAGAGATACGGGGTTGAGTCGCGTGTACTAGACGGACACATGAGGAGAGCTTCGGGTTGGACATGATCTTACCCACCACGTCCTCTGGTGACATGCCCAGCTGGGCTGAACGGGGGAAAGGGAGGAGATGTACGGGTTGGTTGAGTGCGGTGACAGACATATATGAGTAGGTTAGGGTGGTTAGGTAGGGTTGGACATGATCTTAGCCTCCACGTCCTCTGGTGACATGGTCGACTCAAAGCTCTTGATGATTTGAGCTTGATAAACCCAAGGGGCCTGTGAACTGAGAGAATTGCAGCTTGGACCCCTTGGTCAACCAAGCATAGAGAACTGCCCCCTGGTCAACGCATCAATTCACAAAACTGGTCCTTGACTTCGGGGCTGTTGAGGTCGAAGCTCTTCATCATGTCCAGCTTTGGAACTAGAGTTGACTGTGAGCTGAGACTGCCCCTTGCACTCATAGAACTGCCCCCCTCATCAACACAGCAACTCACAGAACTGGTCCTTCACTTCGGGGCTGTTGAGGTCGAAGCTCTTCATCATGTCCAGGACTCTGTCATCAAAGCCCGTGCCGCCCATGTTGTCGCTGCAGGGAGAGGATGGGTACGGAAACGACGCGATGAGAGGAAGCGGATGAGAAGGGAAACTATGTGATGAAATGAGAGGAAGAGAAGGGAAAGGATGTGATGAGAAGGGCAAGGATGTGATGGGAAGGGACAGGAGATGTATCGAATGGACGAGATGGGTGAAGAGGTAGTGCAGAAAATTGCAGAGAGGAGGGATGGACAAGGGAAATACTGGGACGGAAAACGAGGGGACATGGGACAAGGGAACAGGGAGGACGTGGGGGAGCATGTGGTGGAGGGAGCATGTGGTGGAGGGAGGAGGAGGGGAGGAATAGTGCTTTGAGTCTTCTCAAAACACACCAGGAGAGGTAGTGCTGGGAAAAATGGGGATGGATGAACATGGGATGGATGAACATGGGATGGATGAACAGGGAGATAGAAGCGGTTTGAGGAGGAAAGGAGAGAGGGGTGAGCAAGCAGAGGAGAGATAGGAAACTCACAGCATGCTCTCTAGCTGCTGGCGGTACATGGGGCTCTGCATCATCCCTGGGGGGGATAAGCGCATGCATAGGCACATGGGCGTGGGGCAGGGAGAGACAGCACGAGGAAAAGAAAACGGGAGGGGAAGGAAGGGGCAGTGGAAGGTAAGGCTTTGCGTGCTCGCTAGCTGCTGCTGGTGGTACATGGGGCTCTGCTTCATGCCTGTGGGGCTTGGCCGGGTGGGGGAAGGGGGCAGGGAGAGATGATATCGCATGTGCTGGCGGTACAGGAAACATCGACTAACAAATTGCTTCACGTGCTGGAGAAGAACGCGGAGACGAGGGGTGGGGAGGGGAAGGGAGAGAAGGAGAGGAAGGGTAGGGAGGGGAAGGGAGAGAAGGAGAGGAGGGGTAGGGAGGGGAAGGGAGAGAAGGAGAGGAGGGTTAGAGAGGGGAAGGGAGAGAAGGAGAGGAGGGGTAGGGAGGGGAAGGGAGAGAAGGAGAGGAGGGGTAGGGAGGGGAAGGGAGAGAAGGAGAGGAGGGGTAGGGAGGGGAAGGGAGAGAAGGAGAGGAGGGGTAGGGAGGGGAAGGGAGAGAAGGAGAGGAGGGGTGGGGAGGGGAAGGGAGAGAGGGAGAGGAGGGGTGGGGAGGTAGAGGGAGAGACAGAGAGGAGGGGTGGGTAGCAGAAGGGAGAGGAGACGAGGGGTGAGGAGGGAGAGGGAGAGACGGAGAGGAGGGGTAAGGGCGGGAGAGGGAGAGACGGAGAGGAGGGGTGGGAAGAAGGATAAGAGGTGTGGGTGGAGGTGCTTACACTTGAAGGTGGCCGGGTCTCTCATCTCCTCTGGCAGATACCTGCAGGACAGCACGAGTGTGAGGAGGAGGGCAAAAGGAGCAAAGTATGTCGGGAAAATGCATGCCTTTGCAGATAGATGCTGTGCAGTGAAATGCAGGGCAGCACGTGTGTGAGGAGGAGCGAAGGGCAGCACGTGTGTGAGGAGGAACGAAGGGCAGCTGAGCTTACAGAGTGGAGGGAGCAGGGAAGATGAGAATCCGTCAGTGATATGGAAAGACGAGAGTGGCAAAAGTGTTACGGGGGTGGAGTGGAGTTACTAAAACACAACCAGCAGGCATAAATGCACTCTCATGGGGCAAAGCGGCGATTACACCCGGAAACTCACGGGAAAACCATCTTCTGCACCATGGGGTCCTCGAGCATCTTCTCCAGCGCCTCCACTGTCATCTTGCCCTTAGCCCCGCCTGCTAAAGAAAAAAACCGAATCGAACAAAACAAGAATCGAGACGATTGTTTCGTCAGGGTGTTAAGAGATACCGAGATGCACGATAATGGATTGAGATGCACGATGATGGATTGAGATGCACGATGATGGATTGAGATGCACGATGATGGATTGAGATGCACGATGATGGATTGAGGGTTGGAAATCTGTGATACATGATGATAATGCATGGCGCATGCCAAGTGAAATGGAGGACTGTAGCCTTGCATTGGCTTGGCACTTACCACCACCTCCATCATTGTCCCAAGTGGCATTCACGGCAACAGAGGAGGCAGTGATGTTGCTGTTTTCTCTCACATGACTGCACATCAGTCGTTACTGCATGGATTTATACCTTGCTTGCTGCGCTGAGCACGAGCACTCACCACCACCTCCTCCGTTGGCAAATGAGTTGGTGGACGTATCCCAAGTGGCATTAGATGCATTGCTGCCGCTGCTGCCCGTGCTACTGCCCGTGTTCCCCCAGGAGAAGCCTCCCCCGGATGGCTCCTCCACCAGCTGGAGGGGCGAACACAGAGGGGAAGGGCAGGCAAGTGGCATTAGATTAGATGCATTGCCACCGCTGCTGCTGCTGCTGCTGCTGCTGCTGCTGCTGCTGCTGCTGCTGCTGCTGCTGCTGCTGCTGCTGCTGCTGCTGCTGCTACTGTTGCTCTTCCAGCAGAAGCGCCCCTGGATGGCTCCTCCACCAGCTGGCGCCGCAAACACAGGGTGAGAGGCCGGCCATGGGACATTCGCACAACAAGCACACGATGAGAGGATGACCTCAAGGCACGATGAGAGGATGACCTCACGGCATGGGTGGACCTCAAGGCATGGGTGGACCTCAAGGCATGGGTGGACCTCAAGGCATGGGTGGACCTCAAGGCATGGGTGGACCTCAAGGCATGGGTGGACCTCAAGGCATGGGTGGACCTCAAGGCATGGGTGGACCTCAAGGCATGGGTGGACCTGAAGCTGCTGGATAGTGACACCCATACCTTGTGGAGCGGCTGCTCAAAGTCGTTGAATAAACTAGTGGGGCGAGCGAGCACACGAACGTGACCTGGAGCTACTGGATGATGGTGGCAGGTCACTTTCGTGTGCTACTGGAGAATCAATGATTCTGCTGGAGGTGAATCAATGAATCACAAGTGCCTCGCCTTACCATCAATGAATCACAAGTGCCTCGCCTTACCATCAATGAATCACAAGTGCCTCGCCTTACCATCAATGAATCACAAGTGCCTCGCCTTACCATCTTGAAAGAAGCTCGCCTCTTGCTGCTGCTGCTCGCCTCCTCTGCATCAAGTAAGACGGAGACTTCTAAGGCCTTCAAAAGGTAGCGGCACTGATTCTCCCACCCGCTGGTGGTGCTCCAGCACTCCCTCACAAGTGCCTCACCTCAGCAGGGCGCTCACCTCAGCATCTTGAAAGAAGCTCTTCTTCTTGCTGCTGCTCTCCGCCTCCTCTGCAGGAGCCGAGGATGCTGCTGACGACGAAGAAGCGCTGCTGCTGCTGGAAGGGCTGGTGGTGGCAGAAGAGGGTGCTGCAGCAGCGGCAGCTGCGGGCTTGGCGTCTGAGACTTGTGCTGCCACGTCCACCACTGCTGCGCATGACACGGGAGGGAAGGTAGGTGAGAGGGGAAGGGAGAAGGTAGGATAGCGTGAGAGGATGGAGGAGCAGCAGCATTGGTAGGTAGGTGGCTTGGCGCCTGCCAACTGCGCTGCCCCATCACATCTACCACTGCTGCGAGCGAATCACAGATTGGGAGACTGAAATGGGAGGCGAAAGGAAGGCTCAACAATCGATTGGCATCAGATATGGTATCGTTTTTTTGTTCTCATAGAAAGGATCGAACACTATCCATTGCTTTCAGCATCATCTGCCCGGTGTACACATGACAAGTTGTGATTACCATTCAAAAGAGTTACAATGTCAGGGAAAGGAAGGAAGCACAGATCAGACTTACTCAAACAAAGAGGCACAAGACATGATCGATAAAGCAAGAGGCGTGAAGTACGATGAGGAAAACAACCCAGACAGAGCCTTGCTCAAAACAAACAACAAAACATCCTAAGGAGTGGCATCAGTAAGCGTTTGATTATAGGACGAGGCAGAGGAAGCGGAACAACAAGTGAGCACAGCACAGCATGGGATGGAACAATGTGGTGGCATCAGACAGACAAACGTTTATCTTCTCATGGATTGAATCGAACACTATCCATTGCTTTCAGCATCCCTTGCCATTCTCAACAGGAGAGGAAGCGACACAACAGGGGAGCACAGGATGTGATGGCATCAGATAAACACACTTGTTCTCATGGATTGAGTCGAACACTATCCATTGCTTTCAACATCCCTTGCCATTCCCAACATGCAGGAGCGGACCCCCGTCCAGTCCAGGAACCTTCTATTTTTGAGGCACCTCAAAAACATAACTATCATTCTGGACATGCAGGACCAGTACGAGGTTTACACTTCAAAGAAATGACAGACCCACACGAGTGTGTGGAAAGCAATGGAGCTCAACCCTTGGCTTCAGATCATGATCTGTTCTCACGGAGAAGATCAAACACAACGAACAAATGATTTCAACATCACCTGCCAAGTCTAGACATGCTAGGGGATGGCAAACGAGACAGCCCAACGAAGCAACAATGACAGACATACAGAAAAACGCGTTGCGATGGAAGGAAGGGGGACAATGAAGCAGATGATGGAAAGACCCATCACCCTGATGGCATCAGACAGACTATCAATTTGTTCTCATGGAAAGTTTCGAACACTATCCATTGCTTTCAGCATCACTTGCCATCCTCAAATCAAGCAAGGAGACGGGACGGTGTGTGGAGGGGAACAGGGTGAGAGAAAGACAGACGAAGGGGTGGGTAGTGGGTAGTTGAAACGCCGATGATCAAATCAAAGAGCAGGGTGTCATGTAGTTGGGAGAAAAGGAAGAAAAGGAGAGGAGGACTCAGGATAGGAATGGAGGCTTGTAGTGGACACAGGGTGCCATGTAATTGGGCACAGGGTGGCATGTAATTGGGCACAGGGATGGCATGTAATTGGGCACAGGGTGGCATGTAATTGGGCACAGAGTGGCATGTAATTGGGCACAGAGTGGCATGTAATTCGGCACAGGGATGGCATGTAATTGGGCACAGGGTGGCATGTAATTGGGCACAGGGTGGCATGTAATTGGGCACAGGGATGGCATGTAATTGGGCACAGGGATGGCATGTAATTGGGCACAGGGTGGCATGTAATTGGGCACAGGGTGGCATGTAATTGGGCACAGGGATGGCATGTCATTGGGCACAGGGATGGCATGTCATTGGGCACAGGGATGGCATGTCAATGGGCACAGGGATGGCATGTCATTGGGCACAGGGATGGCGGTGTAAGGGAGAGAGTGTAGAAAGATGGGTGTTACGCCACCACCTCTACGCATGGCATCAGACAAACTGTATTTCCTTTTCTCATGGGAGAGTCGAACACTATCCATTGCTTTCAGCATCACTTGCCGTGCAGATAGGGTGGTTGAGCAGAATACCCGGGAAATGGAGGGTAAACATGCAAAAGACCTCAGAGGACCAGTGGAAGCGACAAATAAAGAATCAAATGAAAAGAAAGGAGAGAGACGGGAATGGAAGGAATAACTACAGGTGTCCAAACCCCTCAGCAACGCACCTGCAGATGCCTTGGCGGCTGTGGAGGAAAGCTTAGCCTTGGAGGACCCAGAGGAGGGGGAAGACGAGGAGGAGGAGGGTGATGAGAAAGAGGAAGAGAGCAAACCTCAGTCAACTTAAAAATCGCCAACGCACCTGCAGACGCCTTGGAGGCTGTGGAGGAGGACTTGGCCTTGGAGGACCTAGAGGAGGGGGAAGACGAGGAGGAGGAGGGTGATGATGATGGTGATGCTGCTGGTGGTGGTGGGGGGAAGGGCATGCCACCGAAGGGGTTTGCTGCTCCTCCGCCGCCCATGCCCGGAAACGGGTTGGCGCCGCCGCCCATGCCAGCTGCCGCAAACGGATTGGCCGCGCCGCCCGGGCCGCCGCCTCCAGATTGCATGGCACTGAGCATCTGCTTCATCATGGCTTGCTGGTGGGGTTGGGGAAGCGAGAGGTAGGGGAAGAGACTGGATGGTGAGAAACATATGTGGAAAAGGGGAGTAAGGGAGTGTGGAGCATGAGATAACGATGCTCCTCTTCCCCCTGCCTTGGGATTGCTTCACATTGAGCATCTGCTTCATCATGGCTTGCCGGGGGTGTCGGAAGGTAGAGATGTGAGAGATCAGAGAACGGGAACAGGTGTTAATTGCGAGACAAGACACGCATCAAGAGGCAATTAACCTAAAAGGTACGCTGAACAGCCTGCTTGTCTGAAACTGCATCTCACCTGCATGCACCGCTGCTCACCTGCTGGCACCACTGCTCACCTGTTTGCACCGCTGCTCACCTGCATGCGCTGCATGACGAACTTGGAGCCCTGGAGGGAGGGGAGAGCGCCATTGGCGTTACACGCGAGAGGGGCAGGACAAAGGGAGAAGAGGAAAGGGAGAACTGAAAGAAGGTTGTGTGGAGCTACAGAAAGGAGAGGAGAGAGTATGCGATGGGCTGGCGAGAGAAGCAAAGAGCGGGAAGAGGGAGCAAAGGTGGCATGAGAAGCAAAGGCAGGCAAAGGACGGAGGTATGGTGGCATGCATGAGGGGAATGAGGGGAATGAGGGGAATGAGGGGGGGCATGCATGAGGGCATGCATGAGGGTCATAGACCGAGATTCTAGCTGGCAAATTCCAGGAGTTCTCACCCACGAGGCGAAGAGCGAGAGAGCCACGCCCACGCCCACCCACATGAGAGGCGTGCCCCTGCATTTCCGTGGGGGGAGGCGGGAGAGGGGAAATTGGGGAGGAGTGCGGAAATAAGGGCGACTGGCACAGGGTGGCAGTCGCACCAAACCACATGAGAGGTTTGCCTCTGCTTGCTGGAAATAAGGGCGACTGGCACGGAAATAGGAAGACGTGCATGACTGTAGATGAATGAACATGTGCATGTACGTGTGAATTGATGGATCTGCCTACGACCGGACTTGAACCGGAGACCTGTCACTGTGCATGACAATGCCCATGTATGCCTATGTGGAGCCCTCTCAATGTCGCCATTGCCATCTCTACACACCTCGCTCCATTCCTCTCCATATCTCTGCACCCCTCTGCGTCTCTCCGCATCTCTCCGCAAATCTCTCTGCACCTCTCCAAATCCCTCTCCCTGGTGCCACCTACGGGTAAGAGGACGGCTGGGATGGTCGCACGGGAGGTGGTGCTGACGTGGACTGGGACACTGACGCCAGCAGCACCTGCTGCTGGACGGCAGAGGACGACACTGTGTGGCAGGCAGGGGGGGGTGTGGGACGACAGGGGCACAGGCGAAAGGGGAGGGGTGGGGGTGGGGTGCGGGAGAGGGGAGGGAAAGGGGATTCGGAAGGAGAGATGGTAATGGGGAGAGGGGAGGGTATGAAAATGGGGGAAGAGAGTGTGCGGGAGAATGCAGGGGGTTGGGAACATGCCCATGTCATATGCATGCCCCGCCATACCACCCATCTCATACCCATGCCACAACCATGCCATATACCCATGCCATATACCCATGCCACACCCATGCCATATACCCATGCCACACCCATTCCATATACGCATGCCACACCCATGCCATATACCCATGCCACACCCATGCCATGCTGTGCTGAGTCTTTCACACATTGCCTGCTGCTAACAGACCCTGCTATTATTCCACAAGAAACCTTAAAATGCACCGCAAAGCCCTTGATAAACCTCGGCATCCATCTCAAGCACTTTGCCTCATAAACCCTTGATAAACCCTTGATAAACCCTTGATAAACCCTTGATTTGTTTCCTCTTTCTCGCCTCAGCCAATTCCCCTCCCCTCCGCCACAGCCTGTCACCATACCTATGCTTGTCGCACTGAAACTTCTCTCGACCACAGCGCACCGCTGTGCTTCTCACCCCTCCGAACCTTTCCCCACCCTCTCCCCCACTTCTCTCCCCACCCTTTCCCTTCAACTCTTCCAATCGTACCCCTCTCCCAACCCCTCCCTCGTCTCACCTCTGTCCCCCCCCTTGCTCGTGCCCCTTCCTCCCGCTGCCGCCACCACCGCCGCTCCTGGTCTAAACCCCGCTGTCCTGACCACACGTGGCGCTCCAGGAGTGGGTCCGGACCGGCCTAGCGGCAGCCACGTGGCGGGCGAGAGAGACGCCGGTGCTGACGTGGCGCCTCTGAGAACGGGCTCGCCCGCAAGCAGCGCCGCCTGAGCGGAAAAAAGAAACGGGCGGAGGGGAAGAGCGAAACGGGCGGAGGGGAAGAGCGAAACAGGCGGAGGGGAAGAGCGAAACAACGAGAGGGCTGGAAGATGATTAAAGACGTTTTCAGAGGGCGTGGGAGAGAAGAGTCACAAGAAGCATAGGTGAGAGCGGAACCGAAGAATAGATGCTCTGATTAGACGGTTATTAAGAGCTAGGAGGAGGCGTAAGGGAGGGGGGGCAGGAGAGCGTGTGGGAAAGCAACGAGTGGCGGAGCAGCACGTGTGGAACCGTGTGCAAGTGAGGGCGCGACACCCATCGCATCGGGTTTCAGTCGCTGTGCTTCCGTATCAAGCACTCATCGTGTGGACTCGTTTCAGGATTTGTCTGAGCTTGATTTCCTTTTCTGTTTTTCCACGCGACGAAATCGCCGTGAGAAGTCGTATCCAGATGTCTGGAGATTTAGTTTGTCATCGCTCGTGTGAGTGTGCTAATCGCTTCATGCGCCACAAGACACAGCATTAAGAGGTTTCCTATCACGCCTACCCAAGCCGCACCTACCTGTGTGGCGGAGCATTTGGCGGTTGACTGGATCATCGCTCGCGCCATCATCGCGACCCAACTCGGTGATCACTTAGTCACGCCTACCCAAGCCACGCCTACCCAAGCCACGCCTACCCAAGCCACGCCTACCCAAGCCACGCCTACCCAAGCCACGCCTACCCAAGCCACGCCTACCCAAGCCACGCCTACCCAAGCCACGCCTACCCAAGCCACGCCTACCCAAGCCACGCCTACCCAAGCCACGCCTACCCAAGCCACGCCTACCCAAGTCACGCCTACACAAGCCACGCCTACCCAAGTCACGCCAACCTGTGTGGCGGCGCATTTGGCGGTTGACTGAATCATCGCACTCGCCGTCATCGCGATTCGACTTTGTTGGTCGCTGAAGATGTATTAGCGCTTCGCAATGTGACCTGCGACGGGAGAGGCAGACACGGAAGATGTACGGTGAGTGACGTTAGACCCAGATAACGTTTCGACTGAAGAGTCGCCTTGGGTCAGAGTTACATGGATCCGGATGAGGAGGATGTGGGTTGCGAAGAGGATGAGACCGAAAGCGAGAAGACGAGGCGGGCTACCTCGGAGTCAGGTAATCGAGCGGGGGAAATGCAGCACCTTACACGAAAGGTGAAGAGTGGAGTGAAAAAAAAAAAAAAAAAAAAAAAAAAAAAAAAAAACAACAACAACAACAACAACAACAACAACAACAAAAAAAGGAGGAAGGCGACGATACTTGTGAGTGGACTCAGAAGTCACCTTGACCTTGACGATACCGACGTCCAAATGCACCCAACGCACGGACACCCAGATTGAACGAGTGTCGGTGAGGACAGAAAACGGGAAAGTGGGAGCAAGAGGGTGGGATCGGGCAAACTCACTTTATTCCCCTGGCGGTACGAAGCTCCGCGATCGGAACGAGTAGAGCTTAATAGGGACGAGCGGTATCTGATATTTGGCCGAGGGAGATGGCCGGGAGCTACGATCCTGAAGCAGCAGCAAGGCTTGAAGCAAGAAACAACTGGATGCTCGGAAATCTGGCAACAAAAATAGGCTATGTGATCCAAGTAGCCTGAACTGCTGCTGACTAGACACACTAGATCTTCAGCTGTTCCACATTCGACACGTCCGCATGAAGCTGCACGTGGCACGGTTCTCTAAGAAAGTGCAGGTTTGAGTTTTCGCAGCAATTTATTGATTGTTATTCCAAATTGCTGAGAACAGGAAGAATTCATGAGATACAAGCTTGGAAACATACTAGGAAACTAAGAGGTCCATGCAAATAATGGGATTTGATTCTCAATGTAGCTCCTTCACCTGGACAGATGAAGCTTTTTGGGAGAGAATTATTTGGAAGACCTGTAAAACTTTTTTACATGGATGTCCAACATGATAGGAATAGTTGTTGTACTGATGTAAGGAATTTTAGAGCGCTTGAACCAGGGCCCTAGGTATCAGACTTTTTACGCTGATTGAGCGTTAGATCAGACTTTTTTTATACACTCCTCTGAAGTCAAAGTTTTTTTATATGTATGTTGGCTGATTTTCCAGAATATTTGTTTATGCCTTCTCTGTTTTTACAGCCTTAAAGTTTGAGTGTACGCTGTGCCTCAGCGTACTATCGGGGGTGCACTCTGAAACCGGGATTACGGGGATTCTGGCCAGCAAGGCGGTGTGTAGGTATAACACCGTCAATCACGGTTGGTAAATTGTATTTCCCCACCGCGGCACCGCTCTGTCGCGTTGGTACAGCAAAGATGCCATCAGCGACATTTCCAACCAATCAGGACAGTGCAGCAACCAGCGTTGGCAGCATTCCTTGCCAACGCATAGCTCGCAGCGCGCTGCGCCACGCACGACACCAGAACCATCCACCCCACCCCACCTGTTCTGCATACACGACCAGGTGACGTACATGCAGGGAGCAGTGAAGGTTTCATCTTGAGGAGGTCCTAAAAGGGGACCTCCTCAACTCACCCAGCGTGACCGTTCCAACAATTCCCTCTGTCGCCTGGCTCTCCCTTAGATCTTTGCCATCCCCTGTTACTACTGCCTGATCCCTCGTGTCAGGCAGTTTCTCCCAACCTAGCAAAATACAGCTCGGCAGACTCAATGGCTGCCACGGACACTGCTGCGGACGAGCTGGATGACAACGACGATGTAGGTCGTCGCCGTCTAGGCGACATGGCGACGGGCCTCGACTTTCTGAAGTCGTCCTTAGCTACGCCTTGTGCACCGCCAGCGGCACCGTCTCTGTCCAGCACGAGTCACGCTCCAGAATCTGTGCACCTGGATTCTCTGCCCGAAGCCGCCACAGAACATGTGACAAACACGCCTCGGACGGAGCTACATGAGGTGTCCGACGAAACTCCATCCTGTCAAGCGCCACTACCGAAGTTGCGTTTACGGCAGGCAACCATTGCGTGGGGAACTCCACCACCTGCTTCGAGTGTTCATGCTCCTGTGGCGGCGGAATCACCCAATCAGGACAGCTCCAAACCCCATCCCGAAAAAGTAGTGCTGAATTACGAAGAAGCGCACGACCGTTTCAAGTCGAGGTGGTGTACAGATTATCCATGGCTGATACTAACTATGACTGCTGCTGGTGCCCCCTCTTTTAAGTGCAGCATCTGCATGGAATTCGCGGGATTGGCAGGCAAATGTGGACGGCGTGGAGAAGGCGCTACCGATGTGCAGACGCAGGCCTTCAAGAAGCATGAGGGTACCTCGAAGCATCGGTTAGCATTGCAAAGGCAGGACGACCTGCTGCAGAAAGTGGAGGGACAACGCCGCATCGATCTACACCCCAAGGCGCAGGACAAGGAGATGGTGCAGATGTCGGCACTAGCGGAGTCGTTGTACTTCATGAGCAAGTGCAACGAGCCCATGGACTCATGGATCCGGCTCGTGCGCTACCTCGCGAAGAAAAAGGTGCTCGGGTTTCCGGAGAACGGTTACGGCACGTACTACAACACGTACGTGTTTCATGTGTTTCCTCATTTTTCAAAACATTGCCCTCACATTTGCATTTTGTTTGTCGCTCACTCCCGTGGTGTTTTTTCTATTACAGGTACGGCTTTGGTGAGCTGACTCAAGCAATCCCGACTTGGCTCCAAACAACGCAGCTGGAGCATCTTCTAACGAGTCCCTTGATCGGGATCACGCTGGATGAGAGCACCGATCGGCGACGTGGCAAACACATGATTCTGTTTGCCACCTTCATCCGCGATGGCGCTGTCGTCACCGAGTTCCTCGCACATCTCACAGTTGAGAAGGCAGACGCGGCATCCCTTTCAGGCCTCCTCCTTTCCCACCTTAGGGCTGTCGGCATGGACCTCCGCCGAATATCGGGCATGAGCACAGACGGGGCGATGATCATGGTGGGGCAGCATACAGGAGTGGTTGCACGCATCCGAATGCTCATCCCCAACCTCGACTCGTTCCACTGCATCGCACACCGGTACGCCTGGCTCTGCAATTTTAACAGCATGTTTAAGGTAGTGTTATTATTTACCTATATAATCTTGTGTGTGTTGTGTTGCTTGCAGAGAAGCATTGGCTGCAAAAGCTGCAGCAGAGGAGATCCCCACCTTCAACATGGTCGACGGCGTCATCCGCGCCGTCGCGGAGTACCTTGGGCGTTCGGGTCCTTGGCACCAACGCTTCATGGAGCTCCAAGAGGTCTTCACATCCACGAACCTCGAGGTGCAAGGCATACACGAGGTTCGATGGCTGTCGCGGGGTGCTGCAGTGTCGCGCTTCGTCAAAGTCATGCCCGCCATTATTGTGATGCTGTCCGAGTGGAAGGACCAAACGATGTACGAGTTGGTAACTTCGTATCGTTTCGAGTTCCTTGTGAGGTTTCTAGCGGACGTGCTGGATCTGCTGGACGTCCTCTCCAAGGTTTTCCAGCATCGAGAGGTAAGTGACGGTTCATTTGCTTTCATGATTATTGTTTTCCGTAAACACTGGTACTAACAACCAGTGTGATTCGTGTGTGGCAGCTCGACTACCCACTTGTGCACACGCAGATCCTGTGCACAACCTCTCTCCTGGAGAGCCGCTACATTGACTGTGGCGATGATTTCGGTGGCGGCACCAGCGAGCATCTGTATCGGTTCATCGCCAAGCACGGGCCACAAGGGTTGCCACAGATGGTGGTGGAAGGTGCCTCGTCGGACGGCAGCATGAACCGCTTCCGTTTCGACCTTCACGAGCGCAAAAACAAGGACTACCTTGGACCCGGCCATCATGACGCCTGTGTTGCACTCTGCACCGACATGGCCGAGCTGCTTGTCAACAATCTTGAGTCAAAGCTTGGTGACCTCGACTCGCTGGCTGGAGTGCGCCTCTTCATCCCGGACATGTGGCCACCGAACTGGGATCGGCAGGCTAGGCAGGCTCAGTGTCAGGAGTGGCTGTTGTCGCTCGCCACTCTGTTTCACGCTGACGACTCGCCCGAGATTCTGCCAGGTTAGTATCTGCTTGGTCATTTGGTGAACACGTTTGACACTTGCCCTCTCGTATTAAACTAATACCCTGCCCATTGTTACTTATATCACAGGCATTGACAAAAAGCGGGCGGACAAAGAGTTGAGGACTCTTTGCCCGGTCTTAGCCAGAGCTCCAAAGATCGAGAGGAAGTTCCATTCGGGATTGGCAGCCATCCTTAAGACTCCCAATTGGCAGCAGGCATACCCCAACCTTGTCAACCTCTGGGTGGCGGTAGCAGTGTTGCCTCTCAGCACTGTTGAGTGTGAGAGAGGCTTCTCTCGACAGAAACTCATCAAAACGTGGCAAAGAGGCAGTATCAAGGACTGCAGGCTAAGTGATTTGTTGTGCATGTCATTACTAGACTACGAGCTAGATTTGCCAGGACTAGTTAAAGTGTGGCGCAGCTACAAGAAGCGCCGTCCAGTCACAGCACCTGCTGCAAGACATAGGGACCCTCCAAGAGCTGGCAAGGAGCATGTAGAGGAGGAGCCAGTAGCTGATCGTGCCCCTGTAGAACGTTATCAGTCAGACTCTGATTCAGATATGTGAATGTGAGGGAATGTTTATAACAGAGGGTTTTACATTCCTGCATGATCAGTCAGAAATTTCAAGATAACGCTGTTTGTTCAGCCTTGGAAAGTTGTGTGTCTCTGAATCTCCAGCCTAAAATTTTGAAGCAACACTGACAGACAGAGTACTAGGAGGGATGCACGCTGTGCCGTCAGCGTGCCTCAAAACGAATCTAGGGGCCTGGCTTGAACGAACTGCTGCAGCAACTTCGCGAAAGCTCTGAACAAATCGCGGCACTAACGGCATAACGCACGTCTTGTCAAATGATATATATGTTACATATGGTAAGGCTGTAGTGGGGTAGCCAATATGGGGTACAACCCACATTAGGGTTTCATATTTGTACCTCATTCTTTCATAGTTCAATTATTCCTGCTGCTAGATTCTAACATGGTTTCAGAGCACTAGGTCCGTAGGACCGTTTTTTTCGGGCCCACCTACCGTTGCGGTTACCACGCTACCCCACGTGTTATTATGCGCCTGCCTGCCTTGCCTTGTGACGTGCTGTGCTGCGCGCGCCGTCCTGCAGCCCTCGCGCTGCCTACTGCTGCCCTAGGCCAGCGCGCCGCCCCTAAAGGCCCGTAAGACCCGCGCGCCGCCCCTGCAGACTCGTAAGGCCCGTGCGCCGCCCCTGGAGGCCCGTCAGGCCCGCTAGCCGCCCCTGCAGGCCCGTCAGGCCAAAGCGCCGCCCCTCCAGGCCCGTCAGGCCAGAGCGCCGCCCCTGCAGGCCCGTCACGCCTGCTAGCCGCCCCTACAGGCCCGTCACGCCCGCTAGCCGCCCCTGCAGGCCCGTCAGGCCAGCGAGCCGCCCCTGCAGGCCCGTCAGGCCAGGTCGCCGCCCCGCGCGACGCGTCTGCTGCCCGCGCGTCGCGCCCGCTGCCCGCACGTCGCGCTGCAGCCCTGCGCGTGGAGCCCGCTGCCCGCGCGTCGCGCTGCAGCCCCGCGCGTCGCGTTCGCTGCTCGCGCGTCGCGCTGCAGCCCCACGCGCCGCGCCCGCAGCTCGCGCAGCGCGCTACAACCTCGCGCACCGCGGCTGCCCTTGTTCCTCACGGCTGCCCGTGGACGCCGCCCCTGCCTGATTGCCACCGTTGCTCCTGCAGCGGCTGCCACGGAGCGCCCTACTACAGTCGCGGCCCAACCCTGCAGCAGCTGCCGCGGAGTCTCCAGCCGCGGTCGCGGCCCCGTCCTGCAGCAGCTGCCGCGGAGCCTTCTGCCACCGTTGCGGCCCCGCCCTGCAGCTGTCACGGCCCGGCCCTGCAGCAGCTATCACGGACCTACCTTACCGCCGATGCGGCCCTGCTCTGCCGCAGCTGTCGCGGCCCCGCCGTCGCCGCCGTCGTGCGCCTGCCCTTCCCGCCACTGGTGAGCACCTGCCTTGTTCGCGCACTGCCGCGCCATCTGCCTACCTGCCTGCCTGCCTGCCACGACTACCTACCTACCTGCCTGCCGCGCATGCCCTGCCTGCGCTTCCACTGCTACTACTGCTGCTCCTTCTGACACTACTGCTAGGCTCTTACTGCTGCTGCTACTGCTGCTATTGGCGGTGGCCAGATGCAGCTCCAGCGACGTCCGCGCGAGTCTCTCACGCCCCAGCAGCTTCGTGAGTGGTACGCTAGTTGGGGTTGTAGGGGTGGCCGCGCTACTACTGCTACTGCTGCTACTGGTGGTGGCCAGATGCAGCTTCAGCGACGACCACGCGAGTCTCTTACGCCCTAGCAGCTTCGTGAGTGGTACGCTAAGAGTAGAGGGTCTCTGAGTACCGTTCGCTGCCCGTCCGTCATTCGCACTGGTGCTCGGACTGGTCAGCCTTGCGGGACGCTTAGTCAAACGCAGTCCCGCTGCTTCGTCCGTCTAAGCGGCGCCTGGCATACCGAGTTTGGCGACGAGGCTGAGCTCCCCGACTGGGTGGAGCTACTTGGGCAGAGGGTAGATATATTTGCTCTTGACTATGATGCTATTCTCACTGCCATATATGCATTGCCTACTAGTGCTGACCGTGCCTGTTACCTGTGCGTACCGCCTGACCCAGGTATAGAGCCTGCTCCTCTAGATGCTGGTGAGGCTGCTGCTCTAGGGGCTAGTGTGTCTCCTGCTCTAGGTACGGGTGCGGCTGCTTCTCCAGGTGCTGGTGAGTCTGCTCTTTCTGGTACTGCGCCTGCTGAGGCCTTGTATACCTTCACACTTGACTCTGGTGCTTCTTGCTCCTTGTTTCGTGACAGCACCACCCTCACGCCGCTCAGTCGGCCGGTTCCAGTCTCCCTGGCAGACCCCTCTGGTGGTCCAGTCCGTGCGACCTCCTCCACTGTCCTCCCTTGTCTTGCTGTCCCGTCCGGCGCACTGTCGGGTCTTTACCTCCCCTCGTTCTCTACGAAATTGGTGGCGGGTTTTGCGCTCCAGGACGCGGGTGTTCACCAGTTCACCCCTACCTACGAGCGTATGACACACTGCACGTGTGCTCAGACGGGTCGTCACTTGGCTACCTTCACTCGGCAGTCGAGGTCGGGCCTGTACACACTGACCACTTAGTCCCCTCAAGTAGCTGCGTCTGCGTCTGCGTCAGGTCAGATATCGCCCCCGTGCTCGTGTCGCGCCTTGTTGTACCAGACCCTCCTTAGGCACCACCGCCTTGGTCACCCCTTGGTGCAGCGCCTTCGCAGCATGCACCGCCGTGTCCTTGTCTCTGGTCTTCGCAGGGTTCTCCCTCCCCTCCCACCCTCACCTGCTCCTCCTTGTCTTCCCTATGTCGAGGGGCGGCAGCGCGCCGCTCCTCACTCCTCCTCGTTCCCTCCCCAAAAGGTTCCACTGCAGACTCTCCACCTGGACGTGTGGGGCCCAGCCCGCATCCATGGACAGGGCCACGAGCGGTACTTCCTGCTGCTCGTCGACGACTACACGCGTTACACCACGGTCTTCCCCTTGTGCACCAAGGGTGAGGTCCCTGATGTTTTGATCCCTTTGATCCGCGGTGCTTGTCTCTAGCTCCGCGAGCGGTTCGGGACGGAGTTTCCCATCCTGCGTTTGCACTCTGACAGAGGTGGTGAGTTTTCCTCCGACCTCTTGGCAGCCTTCTGTGAGGAGCACGACATCACCCAGTTGTTCACGCTTGCGGCCTCTAAGCAGTAGAATGGGGTTGCTGAACGCCGCATTGGCTTAGTCATGGAGGTCGCTCGTACCTCCATGATCCATGCGGCTGCCCCCCATTTTCTGTGGCCGTTTGAGGTCCGGTATGCCGCGCATCAGCTTAACCTCTAGCCTCGTGTCTTCTTGCCGGAGACCTCGCCCACACTCCTGTGGACGGGGAAGGTTGGCGATGCGTCGCGTTTCCGGGTCTAGGGTGCTCATGCCTTTGTCCGCGATACCACCGCGGACAAGCTCTTCGCCCGCGCTGTTCCCTGTGTCTTCCTTAACTTTGTCTCTGACGCGCCTAGTTCTGAGCGTGCGCACTTTAGCCAGTACAAGAGTGCTCAGACCTTGTACGACGCTATAGTTGCACGCTACTCCTCCCCTGCCACTACTGCACTGAGCCGCCTCATGCTACCGTACCTCTTCCCTGACCTAGCTGCCTTTCCCACAGTCACTGACCTCATTACGCACCTCCGCACTAGTGACACTCGCTACCGCGCTGCGCTTCCTGCTGAGTTCTGCGCCAAGAACCCCCCCCCCCATGTACATCACCCTCTACTACATAGTCACCCGGCTCCCTGACTCTCTTCGCGTAATCAGGGACCACTTTCTCTCAGTTTGCCCCACCACTCTCACCGTTGACCTCCTCGAGAAGGCCCTCCTAGTGGCAGAGAAGAGAATAGTCGCTGTAGGAGCCTCTCGTGGTGACCCTCGCACCCCCATCTTTCAGGGGTGTTCCCCCTCCCCCCTTTTGCCCTCTGTTGCCTCTGCTGCTGTGGCCGACCTCGTTGGTCTCGAGTCGGTCGGCGCTGCGTCTGCCTCGAGCAGGAGACGCCGCACCGGCAAGGGCAAGAAGGGCAAGGGCGCTTGAGGGGCTGGCGAGGGCGGTGGAGGTGGCGGTGGCGGCAATGGAGGGGGTGGGGGTGGTGGTGGGAGTGGTGGCCGGGGTGGAGGTGTCGGTGGCGGCAGTGGAGGCGGAGGCGGAGGCGGCGGTGGCGGTGGGGGCGGAGGTGGCGGAGGTGGCGGCGGTGGAGGAGGCGGCGGAGCTGGTCGCGGTGGCGCTGCGCAGAGGGTCGGCTCCGGTGGTGGTCAGCGCCAGCAGCAGCAGCGCACTCGTGACATCCCCCCCCTCAGCAACTCCGTGAGTGGTACGCTGCACGCTAGCAGGGTGGGGGTACTGGTCCGTGCACCTACATCCTACGCACCGGCGACCGCGCGGGTGAGCAGTGCGGGGGTGCGCACCCCACCCAGCGCTGCTTTGGCCGCCTGACGGACGCTTGGCGTCACCAATTCCCTGAGGCCACTGAGATCCCTCGCTGTAGCGAGCTGTCTAGGGTGGGAGTAGCTATCTTTGACCTTGACTTTGATGCTATTCTTGCAACCATGTATACTGTGACTAATAGTGATGAGGGTGACTCTTACCGGTGTTTTCCGCCCGACCCGGGCACTGAGACTGCTGCTCTAGGTACTGGTGAGGCTGTTGCTCTAGGTGCTAGCGAGGCTGTTGCTCTAGGTGCTAGTGCGTATGCTTCCTCAGGTGCTGGTGAGTCTGCTCTCACAGGTACCGCGTCGGCTTCGGCCTCCCACACCTTCACCCTTGACTCGGGGGCTTCTCGCTCCTTCTTTCGAGACCGTACCAAACTCACGCCGCTTGGTCGGCCAGTTGCAGTCTCTCTAGCAGACCCCTCTGGGGGTCCTGTCCTTGCTCACTTCTCCACTGTCCTCCCGTGTCCGGCGGCCCCCTCTGGCACCCTGTCTGGTCTTTACCTCCCCTCGTTCTCTACGAACTTGGTGAGTGGTGCTGACCTACAGGATGCGGGGGTTCACCAGTTCACTCCTGCGAGTCAGCGGGTGACCCACTGCACGGACGCTCGGACAGGCCGACACGGCCACGTTTACACGTCGGCCGGGGTCGAGCCTGTACACACTGACCACTGAGTCTCCTCCTGTCCCTGCGTCTGGTCAGGTAGCTGCGTCAAGTCAGGTGTTTGCTACAGCGTCCAGGTCTGGTCCTGAGTCTGCCCCCTGCTCGTGTCGCCTCCTGTCTCACGAGACTCTCCTCTGGCACCACCGCCTTGGTCACCCCTCCCTGCTTCGTCTCCGATGCATGGCCTCCCGTGTCCTTGTCTCTGGTCTTCCCCGGTCCCTCCCTCCCCTTCCCCCGGGGCCTGCCCCTGCCTGCGTCCCCTGCGTCGAGGGGCGGCATCGTGCTGCCCCTCACTCCTCCTAGTTTCCTCCGACAGAGACCCGGTTGCAGACGCTTCACATGGACGTGTGGGGCCCAGCCCGCGTCCATGGACAGGGTCACGAGCGCTACTTCCTGCTGGTGGTTGACGACTACTCGCGTTACACCACAGTCTTCCCCTTGCGCAGCAAGGGTGATGTCACTGAGGTGTTGATCAACTGGATCCGCGCAGCTCGTCTTCAGCTCAGGAGGAGCTTCGGCTCGGACTTTCCTGTTCTGCGTCTGCACTCTGACAGAGGCGGAGAGTTCTCCTCTGACCTTCTGCGAGCCTATTGTCGTGCGCGAGGCATCCGCTAGACCTTTACGCTTCCGGACTCTCCACAGCAAAATGGGATTGCTGAGCGCCGCATTGGCATGGTCATGGACGTCGCTCGTACGTCCATGATGCATGCGGCTGCCCCCCATTTTCTGTGGCCGTTTGCGGTTCGGTACGCGGCGCATCAGATCAACCTTCACCCCAGGGTCTCCATGCCGGAGACCTCCCCAGCCTTGCTGTGGACGGGGAAGGTCGGCGATGCGTCTGCGTTCCGTGTCTGGGGATCTAGGGCGTTTGTCCGCGACTTGTCTGCGGACAAGCTCTCCCCTCGTGCTGCTCCTTGTGTCTTCCTTGGCTTCCCCCCTGACGCCCCTGGGTGGCAATTCTACCACCCCACCTCTCATCGTGTTCTGTCCTCCCAGGACGTCACGTTCTACGAGTCAGTCCCCTACTACCGCCTCTTCCCCTACCACACTCCTCCCCTCCCCCCGCCACCGCACTTCCTTTTGCCAGGTCCCCCCCCGGTAGACCCCCTCCCCCCTCACGGTCCTGCCCCTTCAGGTGTGTCCCAGGTAGACGCAGTCAAGCCGGTCGAGGTTGCTGGTGACTCTGGTAATGCTACGGGTGCTGAGCTTGGGGGTGCTGACTCTGGAAGTGCTGCGCGCATGGGTACTGAGCCTGGGGGTGCTGAGTCTGGGGGTGCTACGACTGGGGGTGCTGAGCCTGGGGGTGCTACGACTGGGGGTGCTGAGCCTGGGGGTACTGCGACTGGGGGTGCTGAGCCCGGGGGTACTACGACTAGGGGTGCTGAGCCTGGGGGTGCTACGTCAGGAATGCTGAGCCTGGGGGTGTTGCATCTGGAGCTACTGAGCCTGGTGGTGCGGAGCCAGCGGCCGCTGGACCTGCTCGTGTGGCGTCTGGCGGTGCTGGGCCTGGAGGTTCTCCGGATGCTTCGTCTCGGCGGGAGCCACTCTCTCCACAGGAGCTGCGCGAGTGGTTTGCCTGGCGCTGGAGGCGTATTGCTGGAGCTTGAGCTTCTTCGGCCGCTGAGGGTACTAGTGCCGCCGGTCCCGGAGGTGCTTGTCCTGGGAGCTGCTGGGCCTGCGGGTACGACTTGAGCTGGAGCTGCTGAGGGTGTTGGCGCTAAGGCTACTGCTGTTAGTCCTCGCGGTGGTCCTGCTTCGGGTGCTGCTGGTACTGCTGGAGGTCCTGCAGCTGGAGGTGTTGTTGGCGCTGGTGCTGCCGCTGAGGGTGTTGGTGCTGTCCTTGCTGTGTCTGGAGTCACCGCGCGGCCTCGGCCGTACTTCGTTCCGCTCCTTCAGCAGGTTCTTGGTCTCCCACCTTCTACTAGTCCTCCTCCTCCCTTCAAGTGTCGACAGCCTATGCAGTCACAGTCACAGTTCCCGCCCGCCTCCCCACTGCCTGCTCCCTCTCCTTACACTGGTCCTACTGGAGGTCTTGCTGAGCGTCGTGAGCCTGCGTCTTGTCCCGCGTCGCCTGTTCGTGCTGCTCGCGCTAGTGGTCGCGGTTCGCGTCAGCGTCCTCCTCGTGTCCCTGGCACACACCGGATGTCTCTGCGTCCGTCCACTGCTCCTCTGCGTGTCCCTTTGCCTTCTCCTCCTGAGTCCTCTCTTCCTGCGCTTGCCGAAATGGAGTCGGACTCTCTTCGTGCTGCTAGTCCTACCGTCACGCGTCTCCTGGCTACTGTCGTCGTTGACCCCTCTTTTGAGTCCACTTCTGCGTCTGCTCTTGTTGCTGAGCTCGTCGACTTTGCTGCTCGCTGTCATCTAGACTACGTTGCTAGTCTTGTTGCTGAGTCTACGTCTATCTGTCCTCCGTCCGTCGGGGGTGAGTGTGCTCTTGGCACGGACGTCTTTGAGGACAGGCAAGAGGAGTTACAGTGTCTGGCTGCTGCTTCACCTCATCTCGCGTCCGTACTGCTTACCCCTGAGGGAGACCCGGATGCACTAGACATCCCGACTCCGCTCTCTTACGCGGAGGCCGTAGAGGGTCCCTACTCCTCTCAGTGGCAGGCAGCTATGGATGCAGAGATGGCTTCCTGGAAGTCCACAGGCACCTACGTTGACGCGGTTCCTCCTCCTGGGGCGAACATCGTCAGTGGCATGTGGATTTTCAGGGTGAAGCGCCCGCCGGGCTCTCCACCTGTCTTCAAGGCGCGGTACGTGGCTCGTGGCTTCAGTCAGCGGCAGGGAGTTGACAACTTTCAGACCTTCTCTCCCACCCTGAAGATGACAACTCCTCGGGTGCTACTACACATAGCCGCTCAGCGTGACTACGAGCTTCACTCCCTTGACTTCAGCACTGCTTTCCTGCAGGGTAGCCTGCACGAGGAGATCTGGCTGCGCCGTCCACCTGACTTCACCGGGACTTTCCCTCCTGGCACCCAGTGGAGCCTCCGACGGCCAGTCTACGGTCTCCGCCAGGCACCGCGCGAGTGGCACGACACACTGAGGACTACGCTTGCGGCTCTTGGGTTTGCTCCCTCTAATGCTGACCCGTCATTGTTTCTGCGCACCGACACCTCTCTACCGCCGTTCTACATCCTCGTGTACGTCGACGACTCGGTCTTCGCCACAGCTAACACTGCTGGACTCGCCCACGTGAAGTCCGAGCTGCAGAAGAGACACACGTGCACAGACCTGGGTGAACTGCGCAGCTACCTTGGCTTGCAGATCACCCGGGACAGAGCACGCCGCACCATTACCTTGACTCAGTCACACATGGTGCAGCAGGTCCTTCAGCGCTTCGGCTTCACGTACTCCTCGCCTCAGGCCACTCCTCTGTCTACTCGCCACTCGCTCTCAGCTCTGCCTTCGGATGAGTCCGTAGAGTCGAGTGGCCCGTACCCAGAGCTTGTTGGCTGCCTCATGTACCTGATGACCTGCACACGACCTGACCTTGCATACCCTCTTAGCATTCTTGCACGCTATGTTGCTCCTAGGAGACACAGACCAGAGCACATGGCTGCAGCGAAGAGGGTGTTGCGCTACTTGTGCAGTACGTCGGGCATGGGGCTAGTGCTTGGAGGGCGGAGTCCAGTGGTCCTCACTAGGCACGCGGACGCTTCTTGGGCTGACGACCAGGCTACGCAGCGGTCGTCACAGGGTTACACCTTCAGCCTTGGTTCCGGCTCTGTTTCGTGGCGGGCTACTCGCTCGTCTTCTATTCTCGGCTCCAGTTGTGAGGCTGAGATCTACGCCGGGGCCATGGCTGCACAGGAGCTTCGCTGGCTCACCTACCTGCTGACTGACCTAGGAGAGCCGCCTCGTTCTCCTCCAGTGCTGTACGTAGACAACAAGGCCTTGCTGGCCTTGTGTCGGGAGCAGCGCCTGGAGCACAGAACGAAGCACATTGCTCTCCGCTACTTTCTTGCTCGTGAGTTGCAGCAGCGTGGTCAGTTGCGACTTGCGTACGTGGCCTCTGAGGTCAACACTGCTGATGTTTTCACCAAGGCACTTCCGCCTTGTGATCATCAGCGCTTCTGCACTCAGCTCGGTCTTGTGCCTGCCTTGCCTCACTTGCTCACCCCTTGACCTTGCTTGTACTCTTACATATATATACACCTGCTCTTGCTTGTTTAGCCTTATATATATGTGTACTCCTGCATGTGAACTGGCCTTGTTGCCTTGACCTTGTGCTCGGACTGTGTGGTGACGTTGTGATCCACCCTGAGCTTTGTCTGCTTTGCTTGACTGGTCTTGTGACCCCTTGTTCTCCCCCAGTTTGCCTATGGGGGTGTGTCAAATTATAATATTGTGTAGGCTATAGTGGGGTAGCCTATATGGGGTACACATTTCTAGGGTTGCATATTTGCCCAGTGAGGACCACTTGACTCTGCCCTCCAAGCATAAGCCCCATGCCCGACGTACTGCACAAGTAGTGCAACACCCTCTTCGCTGCAGCCATGTGCTCCGGTCTGTGTCTCCCATGAGCAACATAGCGTGCGAGAATGCTAAGAGGGTATGCAAGGTCAGGTCGTGTGCAGGTCATCAGGTACATGAGGCAGCCAACAAGCTCTAGGTACGTGCCACTCGACTCTACGGACTCATGTGAAGGCAGAGCTGAGAGCAAGTGACAGGTAGACAGAGGAGTGGCCTGAGGCGAGGAGTACGTGAAGCCGAAGCGCTGAAGGACCTGCTGCACCATGTGTGACTGAGTCAGGGTAATGGTGCGGCGTGCTCTGTCCCGGGTGATCTGCAGGCCAAGGTAGCTGCGCAGTTCACCCAGATCTGTGCACATGTGTCTCTTCTGCAGCTCGGACTTCACGTGGGCGAGTCCAGCAGTGTCAGCTGTGGCAAAGACCAAGACGTCGATGTACACGAGGATGTAGAACGGCGGCAAAGAAGTGTCGGTGCGCAGAAACAGCGACGGGTCAACGGTAGAGGGAGCAAACCCAAGAGCCGCAAGTGTAGTCCTCAGTGTGTCGTGCCACTCACGTGGTGCCTGGCGGAGACCGTAGACTGGCCACCGGAGGCTCCACTGGGTGCCAGGAGGAAAAGACCCAGTGAAGCCAGGTGGGCGATGCAGCAAGATCTCCTCGTGCAGGCTTCCCTGCAAGAAAGTAGTGCTGAAGTCAAGAGAGTGCAGCTCGTAGTCACGGTGAGCAGCTATATGCAGCAGTACCCAAAGAGTGGTCATCTTCGGGGTGGGAGAGAAGGTCTGAAAGTAGTCAACTCCCTGCCACTGACTGAAGCCACGAGCCACGTAACGCGCCTTGAAGACAGGCGGAGAACTCGGCGGTTGCTTCACCCTGAAAATCCACATGCCACTGACGATGTTCGCCCCAGGCGGGGGAACCTCGTCAACGTAGGTGCCTGTGGACTTCCAGGAAGCCATCTCTGTGTCCATAGCTGCCTGCCAGTGAGAGGAGTAGGGATATCAAGTGCATCCGGGTCTCCCTCAGGGGTAAGCAGTACGGACGCGAGATGAGGTGAAGCAGTAGCCAAACACTGGAACTCCTCCTGCTTGTCCTCAAGGACGTCCATGCCAAGGGCACACTCACCCCCGACGGATGGAGGACAGACAGACTCAGACTCAGCGACAAGACTAGCAGCGTAGTCTAGACGACAGCGAGCAGCAAAGTCGACGAGCTTAGCAACTAGGGCAGACGCAGCAGTGGACTCAAAGGAAGGGTCAGTGACGACAGTAGCAAGGAGACGCGTGACAGTAGGACTGGCAGCACGAAGAGAGTGCGACTCCGGGTCGGAAAGAGCAGGAAGAGAGGACTCAGGAGGAGAAGGCTAAGGGGCACGTAGAGGAGCAGTGGACGGACGCAGAGACATCCGGTTCGTGCCAGGGAAAGGAGGAGGACGCTGACGCGAACCACGACCACTAGTGCGAGCAGGACGGACAGGCGACGGAGGCCAAGAAGCAAACTCACGACGCTCAGCAAGACCTCCAGTAGGACCAGTGTAGGGAGAAGGAGCAGGCAGTGGGGAGGCCGGCTGTAACTGTAACTGTGACGGGACAGGTTGTGGACACTCTAAGGGAGGAGAAGGACCAGTAGAAGGTGGAAGACCAAGAACCTGCTGAAGGAGCGGAACGAAGTACGGCCGAGGCCGCGCGGCGACTCTAGACACACCAAGGACAGCACCAGTACCCCCACAGGTAGTGTGAGAGGACGTCCCCGTTATAATATTTTCTCACTATTATATTTTTCCGTTATCCTATTCTCCCTTTTCTCCTCTTTATTTTGGTCTTTATCTCATCTCAATTGGCCTACTATTCTATTTTCTAGAGCCTTCTATTTATTTCTCTTATTTCCTACTTTTCCCACTGACATACCTATTATACGGCACCGACAGCGCCGACAGTGGTGTATACGGTGTAATCAAGGCGTAATCCCAAGTGCCAATAGACTTGCGTGCTTATGCGCACTTGTGATTGTAGTATCGGGAAGGGTGTGTTCCCGAAGGTTCGTTTTATCTCGTTTATCCTTGTACTTTCCGAGTATAAATAGGCCTTGTATTCAGTTTTAGTGACAAGTTTCGATTGAGAATTCGATCCTGTGACAGGTAGCACCAGTGCCAGCAGCTCGAGTAGCTCCAGGACCTCCAGCAGCACCAGTAGCACCCCCAGCAGGACCGCCTCCAGGACCGACAGCAGTAGCCTCAGCGCCAACACCCTCAGCAGCTCTAGTACTCCCAGTACGAGCACCTCCGGGACCCGCGACACCAGCACCCTCAGTAGCCGAAGAAACTCCAGCTCCAGCAGCACGCCTCCAGCGCCGCGCAAACCACTCGCGCAGCTCCTGTGGAGAGAGTGGCTCCCATCAAGGCGAAGCACCCGGAGAACCTCCAGGCACAGTACCGCCAGACGCAACACTAGCAGGCCCAGCTCCCTCAGGCTCCGCACCCCCAGGCTCAGCACCTCCAGGCGTAGCACCCCCAGGCTCAGCACCCCCAGTAGTAGCACCAAGAAAGACGCAAGGAGTTGCACGAGGGGACAGCTTGTCCGCAGACAAGTCGCGGACAAACGCTCGAGATCCCCAGACACGGAACGCAGACGCATCGCCAACCTTCCCGGTCCACAGCAAAGCTGGGGAGGTCTCCGGCATGGAGACCCTGGGGTGAAGGTTGATCTGATGCGCCGCGTACCGAACCGCAAACGGCCACAGAAAATGGGGGGCAGCCGCATGCATCATGGACGTACGAGCGACGTCCATGACCATGCCAATGCGGCGCTCAGCAATCCCATTTTGCTGTGGAGAGTCCGGAAGCGTAAAGGTCTGGCGGATGCCTCGCGCACGACAGTAGGCTCGGAGAAGGCTAGAGGAGAACTATCCACCTCGGTCAGAGTGCAGACGCAGAACAGGAAAGTCCGAGCCAAAGCTCCTCCTGACCTGAAGACGAGCTGCGCGGATCCAGTCGATCAACACCTCAGTAACATCACCCTTGCTGCGCAAGGGGAAGAATGTGGTGTAACGCGATTAGTCGTCAACCACCAGCAGGAAGTAGCGCTCGTGACCTTGTCCACGGACGCGGGCTGGGCCCCACACGTCCATGTGAAGCGTCTGCAGCGGGGCCTCTGTCGGGGGAAACTGAGAGGAGTGAGGGGCAGCCCGGAGCCGCCCCTCGACACAGGAAGGACCAGGCCCTGGAGGAAGGGGAGGGAGGGACCGGGGAAGACCAGAGACAAGGACACGAGAAGCCATGCCTCGGAGACGAGGCAGGGAGGGGTGACCAAGACGGTGGTGCCAAAGGAGAGTCTCGTGAGACAGGAGGCGACACAAGCAGGGGGCAGACTCAGGACCAGACCTGGACGCTGCAGCAAGTACCTGACCCGACGCAGCTACCTGGCTAGAAGCAGGGAATGGAGGGGACCCAGTGGTCAGGGTGTAGAGGCTCGACCCCGGCCGACGCGCAAAGTTGGCCAGGTGCCGGCCCGTGCGAGCGTCCGAGCAGTGGGTCACCCGCTGACTTGCAGGAGTAAACTAGTGAACCCCCGTATCCTGCAGGTCAGCACCACTCACCAAGTTCGTAGAGAACGAGGGGAGGTAAAGACCAGACAAGGTGCCAGAGGGGGCAGCCGGACACGGGAGGACAGTGGAGAAGTGAGAGAGGACAGGACCCCCAGAGGGGTCTGCCAGGGAGACTGCAACCGGCCGACCAAGCGGCGTGAGTGTGGTGCGGTCTCGAAAGAAGGAGCGAGAAGCCCCTGAGTCAAGTGTGAAGGTAAGGGAGGCCGAAGCCAACGTGGTACCTGAGAGCGCAGACTCACCAGCACCTGAGGGCGCAGACGCACTGGCACCTAGAGCAGCAGCCTCACGAGCACCTAGAGCAGCAGTACCAATGCCCGGGCCGGGCGGGAAACACCGGTAACAGTCACCCTCATCACTAATAGTCACAGCATACATGGCAGCAAGGATAGCATCAAAGTCAAGATCATAGATAGCTACGCCTGCCCGAGACAGCTCTCCCCAGCGGGGGATCTCACTAGCCTATGGAAACTGCTGACGCCAAGCGACCGTCAGGCGGCCAAAGCAGCGCTGGGTGGGGTGGGCACCCCCACACTGCTCACTCGCGCGGTTGCCGAAGCGAAGGACGTAGGTGCACGGGCCAAAACCCCCACCACGCTGACGCTGCGTGTACCACTCACGGAGCTGCTGAGGAGGGGGGATGTCCCGAGAACGCTGCTGCTGCTGCTGCTGCTGGCGCTGACCACCCCCGGAGCCGCTCCGCTGCGAAGCCCCACCCCGACCAGCTCCACCTCCTCCACCACCGCCGCCTCCACCTCCGCCACCACCGCCGCCTCCGCTCCCACCGCTACCGCTGCCGCCGCCTCCGCCTCCGCTGCTGCCACCGCCACCTCCACCCCCGCCACCACTCCCACCGCCACCCCCCACTCCCTCTGTCGCCTCCACCGCCACCTCCACCACCCCTGCTAGCTCCACCCGCGCCCTTGCCCCCCTTGCCCTTGCCAGAGCGGCGTCTCCCGCTAGGGGCAGACGCCGCACCGACCGACTCAAGACTAAAGAGGTCGGCCGCAGCAGCAGAGGCGACAGAGGGCAACATGGGGGAAGGGGAACACCCCT